ACGCAGACCATACGGAAAACCCGAATGACTCATATCACTTTGTTTATTTTAATCCACCAAAAGAGGTGACTGTGAACAATGAAGTTTTTTATAATATATAAATGTCGCATTATCCTTTTGTTTTTCAAATCTAATTTTCTAGGAAAATAACGATTACATTAGATTAAAAGTAACAAAAGGTTATTTCCAGAGAAACAGCTTCCCCAGTGAGCAACAAAATTAATTTCAGTTCCAGAAGTATCCGATAAAATGTAGACAAAGAGACTTCTATTGAGAAGATATAGAAGTAATCAGATCAAAATTAAAATTTAATTAGAATGAGACGCTTATACGAAACAAAGATACCCTAAGGACTAGCTATTTGTGCCGGAGATGAAAACTGAAGCGAGGAACATAAGGTAGAGTAGATATGGCGATTTGACCCGGAGCTTGAATCGGGAATGGAGGCAAAGACAAGTTATTTCATTTCATCTTTGTTTTCTATAGCGTCCGACCCCATCAAATATACGTTTTGGGTTCATGTTTTGGCACAGAATTGATCAATAACAGCAAAACGAACCTTGCATGCAATGCGTTTAAGCCCACATTTGGTCACTCAGGTTCACAGGATTTTGATGCAACCGGTATCATGGAATAACAGAAGCAATTGTATCGGTGTACAAAAGGCTAAATGGCAGTAAACCTAAATGTATTAATAATTTACCTGACAGAGACTCTGACAAAAAGTAATATAGATAACCATAAATAGATCGAAGCCATTCTCTTGTCTTGATTTAAGCTACTCTCGTTTTAAGAGACGTACTGAATGTGGTCGGACGGTACTCTGAGAGCAATCAATGGAACATGCATGGTGCAAAAGTTTAAGCGCTCACTTTTCAAATCAGTTTAAAAATATCAAATTTTTACGTAATCAATAATGTAAGTTGATTTTGAATCATTTCAAATCCTTTTTAAATACTTCAATTTCAGTGAAACTATTTACTTCTTTTATTGGTTTTATATTCTTCCGAAAACAATATCCATAGCCTTAAGAGCTACAGCAGTTATGCGTATTTGACTTTATTAACAAAGTCGCCTTCGGAAACGGATAGTGCGCGTTGTATGTAGTTTTAGCACCTCTAAAGAGTGTCAAAAAATCATTTTGAACTTTTTACTCATTAATTTTTGTCCTTCTTTCCCAAATAAAACTGGGATCAGCTGTTAGTCGATCACAGCCTGTGTCTTGCCATCCATTGTTCCAGTAGAGTTTACTAAACGACCCAAATATCATCTGCGCACAGTTTTCATTAGACCTGGAGGGAGCGGGTTGATTATGCTGCCACTGATTGAAAGACGGATGGGTGCAATCCTCCCATCTCCAAACATCTCTGTTGTAGTTGCTCAAAGTTCACTCCAAAGTAATGATTGGTGCATGAACAATTGTAGTCTTTGGTTTCGTAAATTGCTCGGCAGTTACCCCCGTTTTGACATGGACAACTTTCACAAAGACTCTGCGGAGAATAGAGAAACCATAATTGATTGTTCTCAAACATTTGTATCAACGATACTGATCATTAGTCATCACTGGAGCGAACTAAGCTTGCAATGGATATTTTCTTTCAAGACCTTAACAGCCTCTAAGGAAGGATTTTTGAAATATGAAATAACACCCAGAAAACTAATAGAGATGAAATTAATTAAATATTAAAAAGCAACTCACCGAAATTCTGTGATGATGAAAACTTGCCTTCCAGACAAAAAATGTTTTGATGAGCCATACCTATCTGAAGAAAGAAGTTCACTCAAGACCTTCCTATTTTTCCGAAGTGTACGCCAAAGTTTCTACGCCATTGTGTACTTTTCAAACACTTCAGTAAACAATCTTTTTATTTCCTGCGCAAAGCACATCGACTCTTGAAACATCAAGGGCGTGAATTAAATCGACTTTGAAGATCGCATACTGAGGTCTTTCAGAAGGGCCACGTTGAAGAGCTCTCCCTTTCGTGAATACGATTACATTTTCAATGAAGAATATAAGCAAAGAGGGGAATTTATCCTTCAAAATCGTCTCACAGTATAGAAAATACCAAAAATGCGATCCAAACGGTAAAATATGAAATAATCGCTACAACAACTTGTTTATGATGAATCATTTAAGTGTTCCAAGTGAGTGGAACTGAAGATTACTCAGTGTATGATAATGACACAATCACACTCACCCACGCTCAAATAAGCGCCTACTCCCCGGGCCATAATGTGAAACAAGCGCCCCACTCTCATGAATAGTGTGCAAAAATGATTTATGTTTAGGAAATTTGTTTTTCAAAGTTGTTTAATAGCTGATGTCTACTCATCTATCACAAATGGAGCTAGGGTCGTGTGTTAGTCATTCAGAATCTATGTCAAGCAATTCACCATACCAGTAGATTTCATAGCAAGTGCAACCCAAACATTAGCTGAGCACAATCTTTACTACGCCTGAAGTAATTTAGTTCATTTATCTCCTACAGAGTAAAAGACGGATGGGTGCCGTCCTCTTATCTTCAGACCTCTTTGTTGGATGGATTACGACCCAGTCCAATCCGCACACTGTCGCACGCTTCATGAAGGACTTCGTGGGTGACAAATGCGTGTTCCTCTGAAGTGTTGAAAGTCAGCAAAAAGTGCTTTACAATGTTTTAGAATGCAATTTAGCTCGGGAAAAGTTAAGCACTTGAGCTAAATACTTGTAACAAGATGTGCTGGCAACTTTCCATTTCGGATTAGTAACCCAAACTGTGAAATAAATAATAAAAATGATAACAAAAAAGAAGAAAACAGCTATCGAGATGATTACAATAAGAACACAGACTGAGAGTATTCATGATCCACCTCCAAACAAAGACAAGAATTTGACTCAGCAACACTCGGATTAAAGTATTACAAAACAAATTATGTTCCAAGTAAGGGAAGGTATTTTCAGTTCAGTTAGTATAACAGGCATACATAGCTAGAGAAAGAAATTTAGTGGCCCCTGTAACACTAGACTTTTTTGACCAATAATATAAATAAAGAGGTTATTGCTTTTCCCCAGCTAGCAGTTGACTTTATTACGTAAAGGACTTACACAGTTGTTCACACGTCACTCCGAAGAAGTTTTTAGTGCCGACAGAAACAATTGTACTTGTAGTCTTTGGTTTCGTAAATTGCTCGGCAGGGACCCTCGTTTTGACAAGGACAACTTTCACAAAGACTTTACGGAGAATAAATAGACCATATTTGATTGTTCTCAAACATTTGTACTAAAGATACTGATCATTAGTCATCATAGAAGTGATCTAAGCTCGCCATTAATTTTTTTCAAAACCTTTAGAGCTCCCACAGGAATAATTTTTTAATATGAAATAACACCCAGAAAAATAAGAATATTATAAAGATGAATTGGAATTGATGATTAAAAAGCAATTCACCGAAATTATGTAATGATGAAAAACTTGCATTCATGGAAAACCTTTTAAAGGAGTGGTATTTATTTGAAGAAAAAAGTTCACACGAGACCTTCCTATGTTTACCGAAATGCACGCAGGCTTAGATTGTAGAAAAACATGCGATTGTACGAAGCGTATTACATCAGAAAGCACAAGCCGGGACTGAACTCCCGTGAGGAATGCACTGAACTTAACGATCTTCTATTTTAATGATTTATTTTAATGAGCTATTTTAATGAACTGTTTTTAACACATATTTTAGAACATTTTATCACGCCATTAGTTTTCATGCGTCCTACTGGCTAGTTCTACACTATGCTAATTTACAGTGGCATCTCCAACGTTTAAAACCATAGCGCAAATATTTTATCGTCCTCCCTGGTGATGCCGTAGAACGGCGAAAGCTCGGAGTGAATAAAGAAAGAACCACAGTAGCACTTAAAGGCTTCATTTGATCAATATCCCACATCATTACGACATGCTACTAAAGGACACGTTCAAACGTTTAGAAAAACCGAAAGTTACCTACTCGGTTGCCTTGTTATGGCATTTCTCGCGGCTGAGAACGAAAATTGATGCCTGGTAGATTTGCCGCAGGCCGACTTAAAAGATTTCTATTGTCGGTAAGGAAAAAGTCAATAAAATAGAATCTTTTTAAATTGAAAGTAATTACGCCAATTGTTTGTTTTGTAATGATTCAAATCGTTTTTCATCTTGAGCCTTATTGTCAACGCACTATACGACTTTTTTTCGCATATTGTGAATCCTATTTTTTTCATTCCTTAGTAAAGACAACTTTTCTTGTCAGTAAAGGGCTATTGTATAAAACATGGTTTCCTGTAGATGTGGAATTTCTCTTCTCTTGTTCAATTCCATATCTCACTCGTTCGCTACGTTTACTCGTGAGCACCCGAGGAGAAATTCCATATCTACGCGCGTCCGTGTATTATTCACTATTTGTCATTCAGCTTAAACATCTCACGTCATGAGAAATCTCAAAAACACGAACCAAACGGTAAGAATCGGCAATAATCGCTACAATGACTTGTTAATAATGAATTATTTGAGTTATTATCCAAGTGAAAGTAAAAAAAAGGCGCGAAAAAAGAGGGGAGTTTAAAGAAAGGCGCAAAAAAGGGGAGTGTACAGAAAGGCGCAAAAAAAGGAGATTGTAATTTTGGATGAAACATGAGGGGCTCCATACACAAGTACTAATCAATGGCAATATGAGAAACATTTCCTTGCAGCAGAGCAATTTTAATTTGGATCGAAACCCCTCCGACAAACTACAATTGATAAACTATTGAAGAAAATCTCTCAAAAAAAAACCAAGGTATTTGATCAGCTGAAACAAACCAATGTTTAATAGACAGCGACAGAAAGAAAACCGTGTGGGTGTGACTTGCGACTTTATGCTGTAAGTCAACTGTCCAAATACGGGCGGAACAGAACACCGCGTTTGTCAACCGCAGCTTTATTTAATAACAATAGAGCTTTGTTGAGACGCTTAAAACACCACTGTTTTCTGATAAAACTCATAAAGTGCAGAAGACATCTTCGTGCCCTGCTCAGTCACAGTCACAGTCACAGTCACATTCCAGGTGAGGTAAGTTTCTCCGGAATACATGTCCTACTGAGTTGCTTTTACAGTCTTCGTCTGATTTTAAATTGCAGCATGAAAAAAAATACGTATCTCAGTCTCATTCTTAAATCGTGTATTTATGAATGTATACTCACCGTGGAAATCCAATTCGATTTAAGTATTACAATCGAATCATTACGGTGTATTCCTTGAAAGATTCCTTCCTGGCTAAGAGAAATATGAAATATATATGACTGAGAGATATAAAAAATATGCCCCTCACAGAAAGGGGAGGGGGAGGGGAATCCCTTCTTTCAAGCCCCCTACCGACCTTTCGCCTATTTACGTCTTCTTTCATTTCAGTTAGTCCGAAGAACTGCATATGAAAGACTAAGGATCGAAATTTTGCGTCTCTGTTCCTTTTCCTGCCTTCCATCCTTTTTCTCTCGTATCTCGTCTTTTCCCGAATTCTTTATTCTCGTGTCTCTCCACCTCGCGTACCCCGGTGGGGTTGTTAATAAGTAGATTAGCAAAAGCACTAGATCGAAGACTTACACACTTAGATCGTCCGATTGTGAATAACTTAATTTTGATTAAGTTGCTTACATGATCGGTTAATTTTAGCGGACAAATTTAAATCACTTCTATATATTTTTAAGCCAGATATAAGAAAAAAAGGATTACAAAGCGTAGTCGCGCTAGAAAAGTGTGATCTGTAGACCCCTGAAATTAATTCAAACAACTGCCTTTTAATGAAATACTTAACTGCTTAATATTAATAGTTTTCTCTCACAGGTCTCATTCAACATGGTTCTAAACTGGGCTTTTGTGTCCTTGATTCTGAGCATTGTGTCGTTAATTTTTTTGCAGCCTGCATACGGTTTGTATATTTTGTTTTTTACATCTCTGGAAAGATTGCATTACTCTTATAAAGTATATGAAATGAAATGTTTTTCTGTTTCAAAGCCTTTATTTGAATTGAGACATGGAAGCTTCCAACCACTTTATTAGGTACACAGCAGGCGTCAGAAATATATTTAGCCATCTTCATCACAACAAGTTTTGATTATATTTTAATTTGTTGTTTTTTGTAATTGTTGTTTTTGTTGTTACTGTTTTTTCTTTTTAATTATTTGTTTGTTTCTTTATTTATTTTATCAGGAGCCGGATATTGTGACGGTAAAGCAGATGGAAACTATCGAGATCCCGATAATTGTTATGGATATATAGCTTGCTCCAATCAAATCGTGTACAAAATGAGCTGCAGTTCCGGCCTCAAATACAACGAGAAATTAGACCAGTGTGATTGGCCAGAAAATGTGCAATGCAGTCCTGGTAAGGTACATTTGCTGTTCTCCCAACGAATTTTTATTATTTCTCATTGTAACGTCACCAAATTAAGTAACTGGCCATTATTATTCATCACTTATCACGGGAGGGTGAGGGGGTGTCAGGATAATATTACCTAATCTCCACCTGATCCAGCATTAATCTTTCCAATATTCGTATTATCCTATGTTCCCTCTGTATGCTCTGTTAGCGATGACTGTCCCCCCCCCTTCTCCGTTCCCCCTGAAAACCGTGTGATCCCAAAATCCACCGACCCTACCCCTCTAGGTAGATGCCATCTACCTCACACGAGCACCTATAAAGCAATTGACGAAGGAAGATACTGTACGTTTCCGAAACCAGTTTTGTTGGCTATAACGGTTCTTCTACGAACTCTACGGCCACTGTTAACGACATTAAAGTCATTGCCACATTCGCTGAAAAGCGCAGATGTATCCTAGTCCCCCAATTGTTGCTTATCGGAAGGAAATGTCCCTGAAAGATTCTCATGTTAGAGCACAACTTCCTTCACTTTTATCTCTGACACGACAGGATAGTTGAAAAGTGAAGATAACCTGTACTAAACAGGGTACAAGGAACTGGTTATTTTATTAAACATTTGCGCTTGAATCTTTGGCTGAACAGGTCAATGATATGCTTCAAAGTCTCTCTTTCTGCTTGTTAATCAGTTTGATTTTTTGGTATCTCAAACAAAAAGAACTGATACGGAAAAATATGGGCACATCTCAGATTTGAATGTTACTTTTGATTTCTAACGCAAGTTCGTTTAGTTTTTTTTATGTCATTTTTTTAATTTTTGTGTATAATCTTTTTTTGGAAAGAAAGCCGTAGGTGTTTCGAATTACAGGTCATATTTTGGGGCTCCTTTCCTTACTCTGGGTGTTTTCCAACTAAATCGTTCTTTCAGTTGACGGTGGCTGGTCTGACTGGAGTGCTTGGGGTCCATGCACTGTTACCTGTGGCGGTGGAACTCAAGCACGAAATCGCAGCTGCACCAACCCCCCTCCTTCCAATGGTGGTAAGAAATGCACTGGACCTGACACAGAGACCCAGCAATGCCGAACTATGATTTGTCCGTGTGAGTACCACTGCAGCCAGAGCATAAGCTACTTGTGAGCCAAGTCTTTGCGGTTTTTGCGCTTAAGTGTTCTGTAAACATCTCTAAATCTCTCTAAGTCTTAAGGCGAATTACAAAGAGGGCACCCATGTGCACCCAATCACTCAGCCTCTTAATACCCAGTAACCCAGCTTAGTATGCCTTTCCAGTTAGTCAATCAGAGACAATTTCCCAAGAAAAAGAAGTTGTTTGGAGTCGCCTTTGTGGTTTTAGCCACGTCACCAGGATGGGTTACAACAAGGCATTAATTAACATTACCAAGTTAAGTGGACGAGCAGGGAAGTCATTCGATATAAAAAGTGTTCTCAAGTATGGTGGTGCTTTTGATCGCCAAATTGAAAAGCCCACCCCAATTCACAGCACATGCCAATGTTTTAATTAAATGGCACTGAAAAGAGTAACCTAGAAAGAGAGAAAAGAAAAAAGGAAAACAGGAGAATAATGGAGCATACAATGTCGTTCTGATTGGTTGCCCGCACCAAGATAAGGTTCTTGAGTATACAAACATCGACTTATGCATATGTTCAAGAATGAGAACTGCAAAGTTCTGCTAATATTGTTTGCAGAACTAGAATATCGAGAACTAAGGTCTTGTTTTGAACTTCAAATTAATTATTATGAAAATTCTTAGAATTGCACTTCAATCCACCTTTAAAAGAAGGACTGAGAAGGGCTGAAAACAGTTTGCAATTCAATTTAAAAAATGAAAGTCGATTAATGTCGATCATTTCTAAACTGTGGAGGATTTGTCTTCCTATCAATCGTTAATGGTCAAAGGGCCCAAAAACTTAACTGACAACCACCAAAATTGGTAAAATTTAACCGTCAACGTCAAAGCTACACTCCCTTTGAGATCCTCGCATATATTTTTCATGGTCCCTTAGGCATTCTTCTCTTTTAATTTTAATGTTTGCATTCTGGTTTGTGATCTTTTCAGTTGACTGTACAGAAAAACCAGATGGAAATTACAAAGATCCCAACAACTGCTATGGGTTCATTGCCTGTTCCAATGGCATAGCGCACCAGATGAATTGCCCGCATGATCTCAAGTATAACGAGAAAAAAGATATATGCGATTGGCCTGAAAATGTCACCTGCTAAATGTGATTTACTTGTTAGTAATACTGACCCAGTCATGTGGAAAATTTCCAAATAGCTCCTGAGTTAAACTATGTAATGATCTGATAATACAGCGCTGATAATACAGCGATATATGATTAAAACAATCACATGATATTTGTATTGAGTTTTCTTTAATAAAACTACAGTAAAAGACAAAAAACAAAATGAAAAACAAAAGAAAGCCTTTGAGGGAGAAATATTCAGTTCATACTCCTAAATCGACTTGAGGTTGGTTGAATTAAACGAAAAATGTACACCATAGGGCAATATCAACAGACCTGGAGGTTTGGATGCATGGAAAAATTAACGACGGGCAAAATTGAATTTAAAACAATCTACGTTAAATAACCATGTTTTAGTGTGAGTGGAAAGAAAGTCAAAATATCACGGGGAAGGGGCAGTTATGGTACCAAGTTACTAAGCGATTGTCCTACGAAGCATTTTCCGCCGGCAGGTTTTGTTGCAGTAGAAATGTATCCCACTTCAAATCAACGTAAAGCGTACTAAATACAAACTAGCAAACAAAATCAGAAAAATTAAAAATACATCCACAACAATCTAGGTTCCTATTCTGCACTTTTGTTTCGTCCAGTGCTTTTCTTTTGTGTTTTTGTGTTGTGTTTTTGTGTTGTGTTTTTGTGTTGTGTTTTCGTGTTGTGTTTTCGTGTTGTGTTTTTGTGTTGTGTTTTTGTGTTGTGTTTTTGTGTTGTGTTTTTGTGTTGTGTTTTTGCGTTTTTGTGTTGTGTTTTTGTGTTGTGTTTTTGTGTTGTGTTTTTGTGTTGTGTTTTTGTGTTGTGTTTTTGAGTTGTGTTTTTGTTTTGTTTTTCTATTTTTGCTGTTGTTGTTTTGTGGTTGCTGCCTCTAAATTATTGGAGACGAAGCCGCAATATCGGCCATTGGTGTCTAAATCCAAAATCGGCCACTAGGGTCCAAAATCCAAAATCGGCCACCAGTATCCAAAATCCAAAATCGGCCACTAGTTTCCTAATTCCAATATTGGCCACTAGTGTCCAAAATCCAATATTGGTCACTAGGGTCCATAATCCAAAATCGGCCACTAGTGTCCAAATATCAATATCGGCCACTAGTTTCCAAAATCCAATATCGGCCACTAGGGTCCAAAATCCAAAATCGGCCGCTAATGTCCTAACTCCAATATCGGCCACTAGTATCCAAATATAAAGTTGCCGATACTATTCAAAATGTAAAATCGGTCACTAATATCGAAAAATTTTTAGAATTTGTCACTTGTGTTAAAAATCCAAAATTAGCCACTAGTGTCTAAAGAATAATATCGGCCATCAATGCCTAAATCGGCCACTAGTGTCCAAAAATATGAAACCGACTACTAGTATCCAAAATCCAACATCGGCCACTAGTTTCCCAATTCTAAAATCGGCCACTAATGTCAAAAATCCAAATTTGGACATTAGTGTCCAAAATTCAAATTCGGCCTCTAGTCTTCAAAATCTAAAATCGGCCACTTGGGTCCAAAATATAAAATCTGCTTCTAGTGTCCTTATTCCATAAACGATTTATGGATGCAAAATCTAAAATCGGCCACAAGTGTCTTAAATCTAACATCGGCTACTAATTTACAAAATCCGAAATCATCATAATTATTATTATCATCACTGTCACCGTCTCTGCACTCTATTACCATCGTTGTCACCCGAGGCTGTAGATAATTGCTTCTCTTTTTACTTTGTTTTGAACTTTGTAATTTTTTTTAATGTTTTCTTTGCATTTGTTTTTATTGTAGGTGGATCAAGTTACTGTAAATATTACAATAGTCAAGTGTGCTGGTTGTGGCTCTTTCGATGATGGTGAAACTTGCTGTCTTAATCTACAGGGATCTTGGATGTGTTATCCAATTCCGCGGGCACCTAGGATGGCAAGCGTTTAAGAAGGAAATCGTTATTGTGAGTCGCTTCTACGATTACTAAACGACGGCTGATGATCTTTCCATATACATTTTTTCAGAACTGAGTTTTGCTATCAAGGAATCCTTTATTGTAAACTGGACTTTTGCGCCTTTTCTATCCCGTTTTAATTTCAACATTACGAAAGTATGTAGTTTTTTTTTTTGTTCCTCAATATTTCGATCTTAGTAAAATGTGTTACGGTTGTTTTCAATTACTGTTTTCGTCTGTAGGTTATCAAATTATCAGTTTTGCCTTTCCCTTTATAGCATGTGTTTGTAGAGGTTCTCACAAACTAAAAGTCTCGTTGTCAGCTTTAGCCTGGCTGATTTTACGATTGTCTCAAAGAATATCATGATTGTTATTACATCCATTATACCTCAGGACCACTTACAGAGCTGGCATAGCCTCCAAGCATGTTATATTTTCGCTTACCTTGGATTTTCTCCACGATTTCTTTAAAACAATCACTGCAGCTAAACATTAGTTGATTCTGGGGATATTACGAGAGTGGCGACGAAAAGTGCTTGTAATACCTCAGCATCTCCCTTTCGTATACACAGTGGAAATATCAATACCTTTGTTAGCTTGTAACTAAATTCAGGGAGTTTATCTTGATACTGGTATACGATACGATATAACGATTTGGGCTGCTAGCGAGTGACCTAACGTTTAGAAATGATTGTCTTTGCATGTTCCAGAATCTCGACCGTGGACACCACTATTTTGAATTTTACTGAGCAACAATGTTATATTCCTCTCTTTTCCATTTCCAGGAGATTTCCTTGAACAATTAGGAGCTACACAAAAGATATTTCTTGATTTCAGTGATAGTGCAGCTGCTTTTTGTTTTCAAAGAAAGAGGATAAAAGAAGCTGCTACTGCCTAGGATGCCTACCCCTGTACTCCTTGCAGGCGAGTTTGCGCATCCAGCATTGGTCTTCATGCAAATGTTGTCTCAATCAAACACCAGCCATTGAATTGTCCCGCCCCCTCATCTGTCTCTAGAGACAGGATATACCATCTCAGAGAGGCTGTCTACTACCAATTAATTATAAAAATTGAATTTCCAAAAAAAGAAGAATAGCCAAGATATGAAAGAAAGGGAAAATTTGCATTGAAAGACTGACAAAGGGGCCGTAAGTTTTATAACAAAGGTTGCGATTGGTTGATTTAAACCACAACTTTGAATGTGATTGGTTTATTGAACTGTGTGATAAAAAACTGTCCTATGACTTAGCAAGTGAATTAGTGGAAAATAAGGAGTTTTTAAACCAATCACAATCGAGGAAATTGTAATTTTTATGATTGATAAAAAAATTCCGATAAAAGGTGGTCAAGGTCAGATGCATCTCAGGCTTTTAGTTCTTTGGTTTTTTCATTTCAGTTACATCTACAAAGTGGACAAGAGTGTCTGTTTTATTAACCATCTTCTTGTGTTAAAGCCTATCAGTTTACTAATTGATACAATCACAAATAGCTTCCTGGCTTTCGTCAATTCTTGTTGCAGAGGTTTCCAGATCGCAACAAAATTTGCTTAGTGAATGAACTTATTCGTCTTCGTCAACACTCGTTTGGTGACTTGTTTAATAGATTCTTTAAAAAGAAAACAGGTTTCGTTTTCGCAGTTTTAGTTGCAAGTTTTGAATTTGCCAGTTTTCGAGAATAAAAATACACGGTTTCTGACCGTTTCCGTGGAAACGGTCAGTATGGCAATATCCCGGCCGATTAAAAACCAATCAGAACGCTCGGATTCACCTCCGCACTACCCTGCCATATAATAATAACACACAATAATATTATATACATTTATAAAAATTACAAAAGAAAATAAGGCTAAGAAAGGCCTAGAAAGTGATAGAATTCATGGAAAGACTGATTCACCAGATAATTCGGGAATTGACACAACTGCAATCTAATGTAAAGTGAATACATGTAACTAATAATCTTAAAAATCTTTGAATTAGAGAAGGCTTGAGAATTATTTCATGTAGAGTTCCATACTTTGGAGACCCTAAATCTTGCAAGCGTAGTTTACTCGGGTTTTCCCCTCAAAATAAGCGAGTGGTTACCAATGGATTTCCAGTGTGGGTGCCATTAGTTACATAAGTGTCATCAGAGTGAAAGATTCACTACGGATTAGAAAACACGGTTGCCTCCCTTTCGCAAACAAAACCGGGATTTCCTTCAGAATCATGACAATGAATGTCAAGCCAGCCATCGTTCCACTTTCCCATAGTGCCACCCAGTCACCATCTGAGCGCAATCTTCATCCCGGTTGTTTGGTTCATTATACTGCCAATGGGCAAAGGTCAGAGGGGAGCCATCATCCCATCTCCAAACCGTTTTGTTGGCTGAATCACGACTCAGTCCAATCCACACGCGGCCGTAATGAGTAGGAAGGACATCGTTAATGACAAATTTCTGTTCATCAGCATTCTTAAACATTACCAAGTTACTGGTGAACGATTGGCAGTGTGATTTAGCTTGGCCCCTTTCCTCCTTCACTTGATCGAAATACTTGTAACAAGTAGATTTGAAGGACTTCCATCCTTGATCAACACAAGAGGCTGTTTTGAAAAAATTAAATAATAATAAAACCGTTCACACACATACGCACACCAAGAAATAAAGCGATTGAAGTTGTTAATCAGTTGGTAGACCGGTCTGTGCATCACTTTCTGAAGGCTATTAGCCTTTCCACGCGAAGATAGAGGAACTGTAGAAGTCTCTAGGCAGACTAAACGACAGTGTTTACTTACAATAGAGTTTCTTAGAGGAATTGTTGCAATGGGGAAGTAAGGGACAACACAACAATTAGAAAAAACTTGGAAAAGGAAAAAAAGGACAGATAATACTATTCCCATTACGCCTATTTGAAATAATGGTAATGCAAAGGATCAAAAAATAAGAGAAGTAAACTTTTATAATAAAATAGTCGTTGTCATGTTTCCGATTTTTCAGATTGCTGAAAGCGTGTTTTTACCTGTGTTCATTTACGTGAGGAGATACTAGTATTTGCAGTTTCAGACAGTCTGAGACAGTATCTCTAATCTACTAACTTAGGTTGCATAAGGCGATAATCAAATGCTACATTTTCAAAAAAAATAACATCATAGTATACCCTCTGAGTTGTCAATACACTTCCAATTTGGTATCGAGAAGATACCTAAGTTGCTACAAATTCAATTTAATTTTTTCTAATCACGGCGTTTATACACTCTTATCAGGAAGTTTTGAAAAAGTTCTGCCAAATTTCCGTAATAAGCTAGCTAAAAATCTGACTCTTACAGAGGAGACGAACCTTCCTTCAAATCCTAGCAATAAACGCAGGAGATTGTATCAAACCAAGTACATTTGGTAGTTTACGGGCACGACTGATATTTGAAAGTTTTTGCAATGTCAAACTTTTTGAAAACATCATGAATGAAGTAGATGTTCTCATGACGTCACCCTCTAAAGCTACTCTGTAGGTCCTGATTGCTTAATGCCCATCATACCTTTCAACGACTTAAGAAATGCTCCATGCTTCCTGTGAATCGATCATTTTTTACAATAATTGTGACGGACAAACTAAGGTTAATGTTTTTCGTAGCTTTCTAGAAATTAACAAGCTTTGTTTATCTATATAATCTTACACATACCAATGACCAGTGGGGGACAAGACATTATGTTGAGTATACGATACTCAAAGTAATTGAATTAATGAACTTACTGCGCTCGCAGTTTTTTCCAGCATAGTTTCCAGTGCAAGTGCACCTATAGTCATTTGTTTCATTAAGTCTTCGGCAGGTGCCTCCGTTCTGACAAGGAGAACTTTCACATGGATTCTGTAATGAAACAAATAACTCTTTGACTCCGAAAGCCTAACATTTCAGATGCAAAACATCGAAATAATAATAACAAAACTTTTAGATAGCAATAGTAGAGATGGTAAGTTTTGAGCTCGGTGAAGAATTAATAAAGATGTTTTTTCGTAGAAAACATCTTTCTTAATAGCAAAACTGTCAAACAGAAATTCACGCAGCAATACTACACCCAACTAGCCCTAAAGATTTTACTAACTCACCGGAATGAAGTAATGATGATAGCTTTCGTTCGCCTGAAAGCTCAGTGCTGGCAAAGTGTGTTTATCGGAAGACATCAACTCGCACCAAACCTTTCCATTACTTTCTACGTGAATGCAGATATTTGCTGAGAAACATTCGAGGCTTCTCAAACATTTCCACAAGCAGTGTTCTCGAGTTTCTTCATAACCAACCACAATCTTTTTACCATCAAGAGCGTGGAATAACTCAATTTTAAAGTTCACAAACCGAAATCTTTTCGATGTGACTCGGTAAAGAGTTTCCTCTTCCGACAGAACAACAGCATACGAAATGCAAGTTAAAAACAAAGCGGCAGTAACAAACTTCCACAAAATCATCTTTGTTAGATAGGTAACTTCATTTCAACTGACCCAAACATATTCAACAATGCTTTAATAATTTAACCTTGCATACACTCAATTAATTGTAAGAAGGAATGGAGATTTCATTGTTTAATTAACATAAAAATTACAATTTTCTCGATTGTAATTGGTTAAAGAAACCTCCTATTTCAAATATGTAGTTTGAATCAAACAGTCACTGTCATAGTTGTAGTTTAAATCAATTAATCACAACCTTGGTTTTAATCACCATTATAGAAACAGTGTACAGACTCCTAAATTGGAGCTTCCTTCAAAATGGAGAATTTTCTGTTAGTCTTTTAGTGCAAATTTTCCCTTTCTTTTATAGCTTAGATATTCCTCTTATCTCGGAGATTATAATTTTTATGATTAATTGGTCGTGAGACTTCGTGTCGTCCAATCCGGTCTATAATCATTCGTGTGATAAACAAATCGGACTCCCGCTACGCGGTCGTCCGATTCTGTTATCAGTCGTATCAATTGGACTTCACCCAGTCCTATTACCATTACTTAGTCATTGCTGTTTATTCCCAAAATCTTCAATATAATGTCGGGTTGTCATAGCAAAGAAAGCAATTTCCTTAATATGTTGAAAAGCACCCAGAGGATTATTCAAGTTGACAATTAATGTGAACGGAGGAAAAGTAAAAAAACTAAGCGCAAACAATCAATAGTAGGATTCGCATGTGGAGTGCGAAGTTTAAATTTAACGTTTGTAACCGACTTTATTTTTTCACCATACTGTGTAATCATATCGATGTTATCACTATCGTTACTGAAACGAAATTTCAAAGAAACTACATTATGTATTCTCTCAAATGCATCATTAATGCTTCGAAAATATTCTCGAGTTGAAGAACAATTGCAAATGCTTAGCTGTCGATGTAATTCCGTAACGTTTTGGTAAACTGAGGGCACAGAGATCAGAGTATGTAACACGAAAATCGTTAAAATTTCAATAAGGGGCGAAAACACTGAGATAGGTCGATCTTCAAAACGCACAGCGAAGGAGTGATATGTAAACTCCAGACTACCAAGGAACCAATCCATTTGAGACACTTTATAGGATTTTGACGCGAGAAAACAGATTCTAATTCCATTTGAGCTAGCCAGTTTGCGTGGGGTCTTCTTTCAATTATTCCTTTGAGGTCTCCTACGGCTCATAAATAAATCATAGTCCTTGAACACAGTTTGTTTTAATTTGTTTTGTTCATTTCTAGTTTTCTTTGTTTTTTTGGCTCTGTGAGAAATCTCAAGGCAATACAGGCTTAGATATTACGCTTTCAAATTCATTTGTCATGCAATGTATTCTACTGGGCGTGCGAAATTTCGAACATTACACAGATGCTCGTTTAAATTCAAAACCAACCACAAATAACAAACAGTAAAAAACTAAATACAAAGCCTATAGAACGTGGAATAACTTTCTAACATCAGTGGAAAGTCTTGTTCATTTGAAATAATTTAGAGACTTACTGATGCATCTAACTAAATACTTCTATTTCTTGGCATAATCTTTCAACAACCATGATAATGTAGTAAGTTTATTTTTGTTCTGTTTGTTAGGTAACACTCAAAGCAGGGCTTACGCACTTTTTCAGACTGAATCACTTTTCCAGGAATTTTCCAGGACTCGAAGATTAACATTAACCCTTTCCCTCTAAGTAAACCAAATTTCTACCTGAAATATCTCAATGGCTTGTGATGCGAATAAAGAAAAACAGACATTGTACAACATATGACATATCACCCAGGTTTTCAGGACTCTAAAGGACTAATCAGGGATATTTTTCTGGGGTTTTCTGGTGCTGGAAAATTCCTGTACAAAATCCCAGGACATAACCCATTATATCCTCAGCATCAGTATACAAATTCTCCACACTGTTCTCTATACATTTCTTACCGAATTCACAGGGATAACTTTTTTTTTAAAAAAAAAGAGCTTCTTGAGTAAGTGGTCATTATTAAGTAGTGACAAAGTACAGAAAAATTAGATGCAAATCACCCTCAGGGGCTTAAGGGGTAAATAGTTTTTCCAGGACCTGTTCAAACCCTGTCAATACAGGTTACAGACGTCCTCTCCAGGAAATACAGAGGAGTTTGCAAAGAACTTATGCTAGACAAAGAAAATAATTAAAATAACTGCACCATTGTTGTAACAAATGTCAGAGAACAAATAAATGTGGGCTGAATGATTGTCTGATTGATTAACAGATTGAAAAAATTATGGATAATATAATTGAATGATTAATTGATTCATTGATTGAATGGTTCAAAGAATGATTGAGCAAATAATTAAATGATTAAATGATTAATTAATCAGTCAAATAACATGTGGATGATGTAATAAGAAGATTGATTAGATTATTGATTGAATGATTATGTAAAGGCAGGGAGTTTTAATCTGAATGGCATAATTACATGTATGTGTAGGCATGCATATTTGACTGTATACCTAACCATAAATGGCCTTAAACAACACATGTAAATAATTGTCTTCTTAGTTGAAAAGTTCAAACATCTGTTTGGGTTGCTTTAACAATTCTCTAGTTTACACTGTACATCTCTACTCCAGGATGGATTTTACCACAATAAAGTTGGTGGGAAGTTACTCTGAGGTCTGGCTTTTAGATAATAACAAGGTGCCAGAATTTTGTTTGTTTGTCAATTTCTTAATTTATGTTTGTTTGCTGGTTTTCTTTTCAATTGCTTTCTTTTTTCTTTCACTACTTCAAGGAGACAGGATTGCATGATTAAATTCCAAGTCCATAACTGCTTTCTTTGACAAACATTTCCCCACACACAACTTACATTAAGTAACACCTTTTGAAAAAACTGCCTGATCACTTCTCTTTGTTTGTGGGCCACTGTATGCTGTAGAGGTATATTTTAGGCAGTTTCTAGTGCATCTTGTATCTGTAGAGATTTAACGAAAGCTCTGATGTAGTCCACCTGTTGAGATCTTGCCAAGTGAAGAATTTCCACCAAGTTCTGTCTTTCTCTTTGTTATCTTTTTGACAGGTGCTCTCCATAAACCCTGTATCTTGGCATTTATCCCCCTGATGACTGCTTGAACAGGTAACAGATTTCATCTGAGCTGGGTTAAACAAACTGTTCAAGTCAGGGGGGTCTTCCATGCTTAGATGGGGATAAAACTGCTTTATCAACTTAAACTGGGGGTCATGGAACTTTACCGTTGATGGACACACCAAGAAAACCTGTTAAAACACATGAATAGTCTGTTAGTAAATACAGTGAACACTTACACTAAGCCACTGTGATATGTAATACACTCAATACTCGGCATTTCTGTACACTGGATGGTTAGAAATGCCATCAATTCAATAACATAACTGGTTTTATTTTGAAGCATTATTTTTATTTCCAACCTGTTCCCATCTCAAAGAGAAGGGATGTTCTGTTTACCAACAACCTGCTTATCTAAAACTGACAAAGAGGGACCTACTTATCTCACATTGGATTGGAGATGGGAGTGCTTTATCATACCACAATAGTAAACTACAGGCTCAATTATAACACAATTAAACCTTTAATTCCCAGAAACGATTACAATGTATCTTCTCCTTGTGATCCCAATGTGTTTCCTCATAAACAGATTATGAGAACAGGCCAGTTTATCATGAAGTGAGTGTCATCTTGATATACCACTTAATTCTTCTGTCTCAGTCACAAATAAATATGTGGAAGTCAATTGAGAGGATTACTAATCTAAGGGCTAATCTATTGCACACTTCATGTTAAACCCTGATTTCTAAAGATCTCATAAAAATGTTAAACCAATAAACATTAAAGTTTGTCATTGTAGTATTTCATTAACATTGGATTTGTGCTCATTCATCTGTGCATACTTTAGTTTGCTGCCCCATAACTCTCTGAAAGATTCTTCATTCAATGTAATTTTATGAAATTACAAAGGGACACGCATTCACACATTTAACAGTCAAATCAGCAGTACAGTGTACGCCAAAATTATGCAATACTCACAAATTAAAGTGTTTTACTAGGATTTACCTCTTTCTTCATTCCACGAGCCTCAGTTTTCTCCAAAATCACTGTCAAATGATTGTTTAGTTCATATTGTGAAGCACCTTTTAAGTCATACAATGCCAGGTTGTGATACATCCCTTTGTGGGAACTATAAGCCAACTTGGGCCATGCTAAAAGATGTTGGGGTGGCATATAGGTGTGGTAAAAAGTTATATGAATTGATGTGCTCAAAGTATTAATCCGTGTGAAGTGAAGATGTCTTTGGAGATGTTCCAGACATGGGTAGACACCCCCTTGATGCAATATTCCAAACATCATACAGCCAAGTATGTTCCAGATAAGCCATGATAACAGCAACAAGGGTGTAACAGATGAAGAAAAGAAGCTTTGAGAAAAAACAACTACAAGTGGAATGAGAACTGGGGTGATAAATCGCGCCTCTTGATGTGGTATTAACGACAGCAACACCACAGGAACTAAAATACTACAAAACAACATCCTTAAAATGAAATGAGCTTTTAAATCATAGCTAGTATTGTCCTTTTGATCATTTGTGCTTTCCAAAGTTGTCATAGGTGCAAAAAATTTTCTTCCCATCATGGCATAGACAGTGTATACATACAAAACTAAAGCTAGCGGTCCAAACAAAAGTAGCATGTTAACTGCAAAATGTGTAATCCTTGGATGGAGACCATGTTCTTCCAGTGAGCTGGTGTCCATGTTGTACAAGAAAAAGTTTACAGGAGTCAAAACAAATTTTCTTATCTGCAAATACCCGAAGTAATAAGAGTCTAATATAATCAAACTAACAATTGTCAGAGCTCCACCAAGACCCAACCAAATGCAGTATTTCATAATATTTGTTACAAATTTTGTAATCATTTTATCGATGGACCATCTGAGTAAACAAGCATCTAGCAGGCACCAAAACATAGGAACACAAGCAAAGGCCAGAAAGGTGGGACGGATCCAAATCCCTGCACCTACCATGGCCCCTATCAAGAGGTATCGTGCCTGGTCCTTTCTTGAGTGTAAAGCACTTCTTTTCGTCAAGGAGAGCACAACTAAAAGGAGGAGAAAAGCGAATAATATGGCCTCAGCTGTATTGGAAAACGTTCGCGTATAAAACACAAGGGTTACGAAGGAAGTTCCAAGAAGACATAAGGACGGTGCTGGGTCTGTTCGAAGATTTCGACAAATTACATAAACTGACAGATCAATGATCAATGAAGCACCACAAATAAATAGTCTTGGAGCCACAACAAGAGCTTTTGAACTGATAGCTTCTACACCCAAAAAGGTCCTCAAGATATACAACGGTAAGCCTGTGAAAGCGTATGGGAAAGCCGCAGATCTGACAGGAAATTCCTCCTGGAATTCCCACGTTCTTGTGTGTTTAAATTCAAATAAATCACCAGCAGTGATCTCTGGTCCTTGGAAAAACTCGTCTGGGTGGATGTAGCCTGTTTGTGGAAGGCAAACCCAAAAGAAACGCAGAAAAACTGCAGTCAACCAGACAAAACCCGAGGTACGAGCCGCCATATTGAGGAACGAGTTTCATGTAGTTTTATACGACACTCTCACTGCAATTTTTTTTACCGCTGGTCGTTTTCATAACTATTTTGCATATGAAAGCCAGGTGACACGAAATCTGCATTATCAGTAAAGAAAACGAAACAACCCTTGGTTTGGTTGAAGACGTTAGGATTTCAATTAACTGAGTAAGGGGCGTGTAAATTAATTTTGTGAACATAAACACAGGCAGTAACACACATTTTTGCGCCAAAATATATCAACAAAAGCCTCTATTTGGCGCGAAAAAAGCACGGATATTTGTCAGCGGACATTATCTGTTCCAAGATGCGAACAGTTTTCCGAGAGCGAAGGTCGAGGGAAACTGTGAACTTCGCGAATCAGATAATGTCCAAGGACAATTATACGAGCATACTGTCGCGCCAAATTAAGGCTGTTATGTTTCAATATCCTTCAAATATTTGCAACGCACATGAAAAATGTATCAACGGACAGCTTACTATTTGCTGCGTGGAATGTTTCTCTTGAGTGTTCTCTGGTACGACTCTATGAACAAACATGTATTGCCCTGCTTCAGTAACAACCACAAAACGCTCTCTCATCTTGAGTTAAAGTCAAACTAAACTTATCGTAGTGGAAGAAAGATTTGAAATTAGGGAATCAGTTTCAGCTGGGGAACATTCGGTCACGTGATGCGTTTACACCATTCGCGAACGAGCAAAAATTCTTGATGGGTCATGAATTCGGATATTTGCACGTGGTATGTAGAGAAATTCGTTCATTTGCCGCGAGGATATAAACTCTTTGAACATTTTCTGCTTCGATAAGGAAACATATATGGTGACGCTCAAGAAAATTGTGAGCTTTGCAAGCGTACATCAGGAAACCTTTCCTTATGCGCAACTTAATGGTTACTTTTCAGTACGTTTCTGAACCATCATTAGAAACCACACGTTTTTTGACTGGACGATCAAACTGCTTGCATATTAAAAAAGGAAATAAAATGAAGAAAAAAAAATGAAGAAAAAAGTGTAAGATAAATATATTTGTGCCACACCTTTAGGCTTGAAGGGCGTGCAAATTGAAGTGGCCCATCTTTTCGGTCTTGTCCCTTATCTAGAGCCTGGTAGGGGCTAATCAAATATGATCTACACAACGATTAGAGGAATGAACTATCAAGTTTTCGTCATGATCCGATGGGATGCTTCTGGGAATATGCATATCTTATCAAGTTATTTCTTTGTTGAGAAACAAAATTACTGTCGTTTATTTTTTTTTGCAACATTACGCGTTCAATTAGCAATATTTTACTTAAAGAAATCTCTTAGATAAAAAAAACTTTAAAAATACTGTCTAGCACAAAAGCTCGTCGTAATTAATATCACATTGACTCGTTTTTCCATGTAAGAGCTTACAAACTTCGTTAACTAATTGGGTTACAACGACCCCTCTGTAAACGGAAACACAAATTGCAGTTTAATATCAAAAGATATCACCCTACCAGCACAATTCTCAATCGTGCTTTTTGTTTCCCTCTAAGTTTCTTGCGTTTGGGGTTGTTTTCGTCGATTTTTCCGCAATCCCATAAAATCAAAGAATTGGATTCCCCCATAAGAAAAACATCGAGAAAAAGATATCTCCCCCTAAAAAGCGCGGGGGCTAAAACAATAATGTCAAATGAGAAATATCAATAATGGTAATACTAATAATAATAATTATAATGATAATGACTATAATAATAACAATAGTAATAATAATAACAATAATAATAGAAATAATAAGAATCTTGTCGAATCGCCTAATTAATAGCTGAAAACCTTGATAAAATTAGGCAGCCACATCTTTTACAAGACTACTTGATAACAAGACAAACTAGGAGATCACGTGACGACGAACTCATTCTAAATCACAAACTGTCATAAAAGATTGAGGCAAGTGTGTGCTTTGCCTTCATTACCCATCAAGTTGAAATATATGGCGGAGAGTTTGGACGACTGGGATTTCGAGCACACTTACACTTCATTAGCTTTGAAAGCTGAAAATCGGTTCAATTAATATGAAGTCTGTCTTTAAATGAAAAAGCTTAAACGGCTGAAATGCAAGACATGGTTCTAAGTATAGCGTAATAACAAGTAAATGATGGCCTAACTAATTTATTCTTAAACTTTAGTATAATAAAAGAAAATTAACAGAGAACATAATCAAAGAAATCTATGTATTTTTCGGAAAATTCGGAAAGATAGCAAGCTTAAACGGAAGTTTCTTTTCACTGCAACAGATCCTTTGCTACAGGATACTCATCTTGGACATGTGAGGGAACAAAGCGGACTTTCTCGTCTAAGTTAACTCTTGGAGTCTTCTGTTTTCTCGGGGAACGGATCTTTTTCAGCATTGGGAGGCGGACATTACCAGTAACACACATCCCAGCAGCCAAGTCACATCTGACGTTCGAAGGGCAATAGAAAAGGGTAAATTTTTGAAGACACAAGAAAGAAAGAAAACAGAGTAAATAGACTCTCAAGAAATAATTCATCCACTGAAAATAACTACCCTTACATTAAAAGAGAGGGTGGGTCAGTTAGCTTATAAGTAACTCACTAAACGGCTAACCGATTGAAGGTCTGAATAACTAGGTGAATGACTTGAGGAAAGTTTAATAAAAAAGCAAAAAAACAAACAAGCAAATGAACAAGACGGAATGAGAACAATAAGTAAAGAAAGGGAAAATGGAAGAAACTAACATACGGTCAAACCCGTATTTAGCGGCCACCCACGAAGTATGGCCAAGAAAATAGAGGTATTGTAAAAACGATGAAAAAAACGCCATTTTATGTCACAACTGACCATTTGATGTACTAAAACTTGCTTGAAAATACTACAAACATCATTGATTTCGGGAGAAAACATGGATTAAATTTTGCTTTAAAGATAATTCTTTCTTTAATTTGAGTGGTTCTGCTTAAGTGACCGTTCAATACAGGTGGAAGACGATACAAGCAAGCCATTGAGAGTCAGTAAAGGGTGACCACGACCGTTTAACCCTTCAGCCGCTTGGTGCAGCATCTAATTTCTCCCTACAATATCACTCCTTAATCACACATTGAGGTCACGAGAATAAAGGAAATGATCACCAGGGAAGGAACCTTTAGATTAGCAAACAAAGTCTCCTTATCAGCACCTTAGGAAATGTATAAAGAACAGTGTGGAGAATATGCTTACTGATGTTAGGGCGTAAAGGGTTAACAGGGGTGACCGCGTAATAGAGGTAAAAATTACGGTAATTAAAGCAAAGTAATTTCGAAACTTGGAGGACCGACCGCTTAATACAGGGTGATCGCTTAATACAGGTTCGACTGTAATTATGGTGAACGAAAAATAGGGTGGGGGGGGGGGGAGGGAGTAGTGAATCTTTGTGTAATATTACCTATATCCCGAGGGACAGCAGTGTTTGTGGTCTTCACAGCAAACTGCATGTGGTAAAGGACAACAGCCGTAACTTCCATCAGCCAACTCACAGCAGGTCTCGTAATCCAAACAGGAACATCCATCAGGGCATTTAATGTAGTTCTGTCTGGCTTCTAGAGAAAAAAAATGGGAAAAAACTGTTTTGAGATCCTTTGCAAGCAAGGAATATTAAAAAAACATTTATTTTTTTCCACAGGCAGTTTATTGCTCTTCTTGAAATGAAATGAATGAAACAGAAGATGAAAGATATTGGTTTGAGCGCTTATATTTATGTATTAGTCAATTCATTAAATTACCAAAGTAGTTCGCAAAGAATCTTGAAACACATACCCATTATTGACCTGGAAGACGGAACATTGTGCATCATCTTTATGCGCTCAGCATTTTTATGACATTTCCCTGAAATTACACAAAGAGGGTTTTATTTTTAACATCAAAATATTACGATTATTGAACGAGTATTAAAAAGGCTGTTATTCGTATTCTAATCTCCACCAAATTTTACCTGTTTTTCAACCCAAAGAAACACCTTTTACACATGAAATTCAGACGATAGCCGTGCTGGTCGATCTCGAGAATCCGATGGAATGGTTATTTACGTTTTTGTTTTGTTTCGTTTCTTTGGTTTGTTGGGTGGCAGTAACAGCTAAAACCAAGTAATTTCCATGAACAACACAAAAACAACAACAACAACAACAAAAAAGACACTGAAAGAACACCAAACACACACAGACAAAAACCGAAAAAAAAAAAGAGGAAATAGGAAAATTTAAAATATAACTCGGCCCCCCCCCCCCCCCCCCCCCCCAAAAAAAAAATGCATTTAAATTGGTACTGAGAATCTTGAAATACATGTAACTGTCAGTCTGTTTGAAAAGGTAAATGAGTCAAACTCTACAACACATACATTCTTTTGACGTTACAACACATACCTCCTTTGACGTCACATGTGTACCCCTCCGGGCAGCAGTGTATGTTGTCGCTGCAACATACAGCATTCTTTAACGGGCAGCAACCGTACGTTCCAGATGGCACTTTACAGCAGGTACTTCCATTAGGACATTGATATTGTTTATCGGGGCATACGATGCCACTTCCTGCCCTGATGTGCGTAATTACCTGCACCGCTGCATACATCTTTAGAGAAGCTATACTGCTGCTTCCGTGGGTACAGGTTCCAGCAGACACGTCGCAAGTATATCCATTGGGACAGCAGTGTTCTCCATCGCTGCAACAAACAGCATTTGGAAGAGGACAACAGCCATATTCACCTGAAGAGAGTTTACAGCAAGTGCTTCCATCTGGACATTCGGACTGACCATCGGGACAAACTTTGTTACTCGCTGTACCTCCTTGTTTTGATGCCGGCGTTTTCTTAACCATTGGTAAACTGCTGTCTCCTTGCGTACAGGTTCCAGCAGACACGTCGCAAGTATATCCATTGGGACAGCAGTGTACTCCATCGCTGCAACAAACAGCCTTTGGCAGAGGACAACAGCCATATTCACCAGAAGACAGTTTACAGCAAGTGCTTCCCTCTGGACATTCGGACTGACCATCGGGACAAACGATGTTACTCGCTATACTTTCTCGTTTTGATGACGACATTTTCTTAACCATTGGTAAACTGCTGCTTCCTTGTGTACAGGTTCCGGCAGACACGTCACAAGTATATCCATTGGGACAGCAGTGTACTCCATCGCTGCAACAAACAGCCTTTGGAAGAGGACAACAACCATATTGTCCTGATTGAAGTTTACAGCAAGTGTTTCCATCTGGACATTCGGACTGACCATCGGGACAAACGATGTTACTCGCTGCACTTTCTTGTTTCAATGCCAGCACTTTCTTAACCATTGGTAAACTGCTGCCTCCTTGCGTACAGGTTCCAGCAGACACATCACAAGTATATCCATTGGGACAACAGTGTACTCCATCGCTGCAACAAACAGCATTTGGAAGAGGACAACAGCCATATTCACCAGAAGACAGTTTACAGCAAGTGCTTCCATCTGGACATTCGGACTGACCATCGGGACAAACTTTGTTACTAGCTGCACTTTCTTGTTTCAATGCTACCATTTTCTTAAGAATTGGTAAACTGCTGCTTCCTTGCGTACAGGTTCCAGCACGCACGTCGCAAGTATATCCATTGGGACAGCAGTGTACTCCATCGCTGCAACAAACAGCCTTTGGAAGAGGACAACAGCCATATTCACCGGAAGACAGTTTACAGCAAGTGTTTCCATCTGGACACTGGGACTGACCATCGGGACAAACGATGTTACTCGCTGCACTTTCTTGTTTCAATGCCAGCATTTTCTTAAGAATTAGTAAACTGCTACTTCCTTGCGTACAGGTTCCAGCAGACACGTCACAAGTATACCCATTGGGACAGCAGTGTACTCCATCGCTGCAACAAACAGCCTTTGGCAGAGGACAACAACCGTATTCACCTGAAGAGAGTTTACAGCAAGTGCTTCCCTGTGGACATTCGGACTGACCATCAGGACAAACGATGTTACTGGTTGCACTTTCTTGTTTCAATGCCAGAATTTTCTTAACCAATGGTAAACTGCTGCTTCCTTGTGTGCAGGTTCCAGCAGACACATCACAAGTATATCCATTGGGACAACAGTGTACTCCATCGCTGCAACAAACAGCATTTGGGAGAGGACAACAGCCATATTCACCTGAAGAGAGTTTACAGCAAGTGTTTCCCTCTGGACATTCGGACTGACCATCGGGACAAACTTTGTTACTCGCTGCACTTTCTTGTTTCAATGCTAGCATTTTCTTAAGAATTGGTAAACTGCTGCTTCCTTGCGTACAGGTTCCAGCAGACACGTCACAAGTGTATCCATTGGGACAACAGTGTACTCCATCGCTGCAACAAACAGCATTTGGGAGAGGACAACAGCCATATTCACCTGAAGAGAGTTTACAGCAAGTGTTTCCATCTGGACATTCGGACTGACCATCGGGACAAACTTTGTTACTCGCTGCACTTTCTTGTTTCAATGCTACCATTTTATTAAGAATTGGTAAACTGCTGCTTCCTTGCGTACAGGTTCCAGCAGACACGTCACAAGTGTATCCATTGGGACAACAGTGTACTCCATCGCTGCAACAAACAGCATTTGGGAGAGGACAACAGCCATATTCACCTGAAGAGAGTTTACAGCAAGTGTTTCCCTCTGGACATTCGGAATGACCATCGGGACAAACTTTGTTACTAGCTGCACTTTCTTGTTTCAATGCTACCATTTTCTTAACCAGTGGTAAACTGCTGCTTCCTTGCGTACAGGTTCCAGCACGCACGTCGCAAGTATATCCATTGGGACAGCAGTGTACTCCATCGCTGCAACAAACAGCCTTTGGAAGAGGACAACAGCCATATTCACCAGAAGACAGTTTACAGCAAGTGTTTCCATCTGGACACTGGGACTGACCATCGGGACAAACGATGTTACTCGCTGCACTTTCTTGTTTCAATGCCAGCATTTTCTTAAGAATTGGTAAACTGCTGCTTCCTTGCGTACAGGTTCCAGCAGACACGTCACAAGTGTATCCATTGGGACAGCAGTGTACTCCATCGCTGCAACAAACAGCCTTTGGCAGAGGACAACAACCATATTCACCTGAAGAGAGTTTACAGCAAGTGCTTCCCTGTGGACATTCGGACTGACCATCAGGACAAACGATGTTACTCGCTGCACTTTCACGTTTTGATGACGACACTTTCTTAACCATTGGTAAACTGCTGCTTCCTTGTGTACAGGTTCCAGCACGCACGTCACAAGTATATCCATTGGGACAGCAGTGTACTCCATCGCTGCAACAAACAGCCTTTGGAAGAGGACAACAACCATATTGCCCTGATTGAAGTTTACAGCAAGTGTTACCTTCAGGGCACTCAGACTGACCATCAGGACAGATAATATTGCTCTTTCCTGTCTCTCCTTTCCATACTTGTATTTTGGTAAGAAGAGTTTCTATATCTGTCTTCCTGTCACAAGTTTTCTTTTCGATATTACATTTGGTATTACCTGGACAGCAATGAATTTGGTCATCGCAGCAAACAGCCTTGGGAAATGGACAGCAGCCCCAATCCCTTGTGTGAAGCTTACAGCAAGTGTTTCCATCTGGACACTCGGACTCACCATCAGGGCACAAGACATCATTCAGGTTAGAATCCTTTATTGATAGTGTTTTTTTCATCACAGGTATTTTTTCATGGTCTCTGCTCTTTGATGCTGCTATCTTTCCCATTTTGACCGTTGACTGCTTTAAAAGTAGGGTCTTCTTGCTGGAATATTGTCCTTTTATTTGCTCCAGTAATCTCTCCAAGGGCTTCTTAAGAGATTTGGGTGATTTACTCGATAATGAAGCTACAGTATCAGAGCCAGATGAACAGGTTTTGCCATCTTTAGAGCAACTGTAACCTTGGGGACAGCAGTGTAATTGATCAGGACAACATACTGCCTCTGACATTGGACAGCAGTGATATTTACTACCATCTTGGCAACAGGTGTATCTAGAAGATAAAAGTAATGAAATGATAACTTAATTTGATTACAACTGATGCTTTTGGTTTAACCCTTTAACTCCCACGAGTGACCAAGACAGAATTTCTCCTTACAATATCAATACAACCTAAAGGTGTATGCTTCTCTTTATTAACTGGCAAACTTATGTAGAAAGTGAACTAAGGTTATGTTAGAATTCTCTGTTTCATACTGACTGCACGTTTTGTTGTGGCATCTTGATTTAATATTTGGAAAACTTCTGACATAGATACATGTACACCCCATTAGATTGTTTAACATGTAATACGTGTGAATGTCTGAGAGTTAAGTAGTATTCTTACGAGCCCCTGTATGCTGTAATTAGTACAAATTATTTGCCCATCAATTCTAAGCTCTAACATCCACCCTGGGCATCCCATGGGCATATCACTGTCATCCACATCTAGGGGGGAAGGGTGGGCCCTTTAAACTTTGCTGGGTGGGGTGAGGAATTTGACTCAGAACCATCAAGTCTTTCCAGCAAAATAACTATTATACCTTTTACTGTGGAGGTGTTGAAAGGGAAAAAGGTAACTTTAAGGAGCAGATTACTCTGAAAGGTCCAAAATAAAACTACAGGAACATTTTGGATGGAACACTAAAACAAAATTTTGGCCAGGGAGGGAGAGGGAGGGGGGGGAATTGAAGCTTTGAATTGATTAGTGCATTACTAAGAAAAGATACAGATGGTAGTACTTCATTTGCCTGAAATTTAAAATTTCAAACAATCCAAAATCAATTTTGAAGAACCTAGTGAGAGGCTACTGAAATCCAGATAATTGCAACTGCTTTTTTAACCTAACCCTAACAAATATGCTGATTTGTACATCCCATTTAAATCTAAGAACTTTAACAAGAGCAAATAATAACTACTGAATAACAAATGACAATAACAGAAAACAACAGAAACAATTAAAAATTTAAATCCTACTTACATACTACTTTGCTAAAAATAAAGATCTCTGTGACATTATTCATTCAAATATAAATATATATCATCTTTGCCTTATCTCCATACATCCTGAACTCAAAAATAGGGAAAAAGATAATTGAAAATGCTACATATTAAATACATGTTTATTAAAAAATAAACAAAACCAGTGACTTTTTATTATTTTAACAAGAACACCAATACACTTTTACTACTTTGATCTGTCTCCACACCAAGTACTATACAATATCAATCAATACCTGTCTGGGCAAGCATACTGATTGTTGCATTTTACAATGTTGGCCCCCGTGGAAGGAAACAGAGCAGCAACATCGTCTTTCCTTGTTTCTTGACACACACCATTTTCACAGGAGTAACCAGCAGGACAGCAGTGAACCTCATCACTGCCTGGAACAGAACAACAGGAGTGGAGAGAAGGACACTGTCTGATGGCACCAGGACATACAACAGCATCCAACACACCAATTTCATTCTGTTGATGAAAAATATACCAGAATGATGAGTGACACGCAGCCCATGAAACAAAGGGTTAATCTGCATTCACATACGTACAAATACTTAACAGTAAATTGTAAGCATACTTGACAAATTTAATCAATTAAGACCCCATGCATACTAATCTTGACAGACAAGCATATAATTCCATTCTTAGACGCCTATGTAAAATTAGTATGTATGAGCTAGCTGATTGTTTTCTGTAGTGTGTAATGGTCACTGTTTCTTTCAATGTGCATTGCATTTTTAGTAAAAACTGGTGGTTAAGCTGCACCAATGTCTGTCAATCGTCTTGAGTTGCTTTCAGCTGCATTTGCACATGCACTGCTGTGGTCCTGTTCACTTAACAAAAGCTTTTTGTCTGTCTGCTTGACTACACAGCCCAATATTTTTTTCATTAAGCCACTAATTAACCCTTTACTCCCTTACATCAATATGCATATTCTCCATACTACTCCCTGAACATTTCCTAGGGTTCTGGCAAGGAGAATTTGTTCAATAATCCAGAGCTTATTTAGTTGGTGATCATCTCTTTTATTCTCATGACCTTAATGTTTAATTCAGGGATGATGTTGTAAGGAGAAATTAAATGTTAGTCACTCTTAGGGGTTAAAAGGTTAATGATTTTAGATTGCCAAAATGGAAACTCTAAAAAAGGTGTGCTTGGAAAAACTTGGGCTGGGTGAAAAACAACAACAACAACAACAACAACAACAACAACAACTGCACATGTCAACCATGAATACATGCAAGACAACCTACAGATCTCCAAAACAGTAATCATAAAACAAAGGGAAGCTGCCTATTACACCTTACCAGCAAACTGCACAAGCTTTTTTTCAACATTTATTATTTAAAAGCTTAAAGCATACCTGCTCAAGGATCTACTGTATGAATCACATTATTTTAATCTACAGTTTGAAGGTGAATGAAGGTGCATGAACAGTTCTTCAAGTGAACCATGGAAGGCTCTGAATGTCTTCAAATTAATTCTTACCATTGGTAATTTGGTATTAACAACTGAGTTGAAAACATAAATTGGCTATCATAAAGAGTTAAAAAGCTGATGTTTCAAGTGTTAGCCCTTTGTCAATCGCCCTGACAAAGGGCTAATGTTGAAATGTCAGCCTTTTAACTCTTTACAGTGGACGATTTACGTTTTCAACTCAGTTGTTAACACCAAATTACCTGTTACACTCTCCCACCGATGCAGCACCACTGCTTCTTTAGAAACTTAACCCTCAGTTCTTATCATTGTCTGTTATACATTTCTAATGACCGTAGCTCTGATAATTTGGTATTAAATCAAGACTAACATTCTCCATAAAGTAATGTTCATCTTTCTTCTCAAAATTAACCTCCCATCAGGACAATCGATAAATATTGTAAGGAGAAATTACTAACTGGTCACTTCTTTTGGTTGAAATGGTTATGAATTCAAAGTTGGTAGAGTTCCTATAATTGAATTAGTCACGATCCATTTTGTAATAATTCAGAGCATTTGCACTATTATGCATTGCTAAGCACATTAACCCTTTAACTACCATGAGTGAGCAAGTCAGAATTTCTCCTTACAATATCAATACAATATCAAACAGATAAGTGATGAGAATAGAGAAAAATATCAATTTGGGGATAATTAGTTGATCCAATACTAAATTCTCTGAACCAGCTTTATAAGAATTATATAGTTGACAGTAAAGATAATTACAAATTTGATCTAGAAGTTAATTAAAGGGTTAAATCTAAAAAACAGTCATAATAAAACTTACTGATGTGAAGGTTGAAGGAATCTTCTTGAGGTGAAGAAATGTGTTTTCTTTTAGCTCCTCAAAATGACAAAAGCTCACCTGGCTATACAGCAGTATGAACACTAAAGTGAGGTACCACTTCATCTGCATATTCAATAAAAAAAAGTGCCAAGGTTAGCAGCAATTTGTGGTTTGTTTAAAACCTCTGTCAATAACATTACCTAACTAACAGTAGGCCTTTTTTTGCTTTGTGGACTTGTCAGCCTTTGCATGACAGGAACTCTTTAAGATCTCAAGTTCATGAGAGTAGAATTTTAGGGGGGAAGGGAAAACTGAATGATCAAACTAAATGTGGAGGAGAAGAGTTGAGGACAAACAGGACGCAGATGGGTAACTGGAATGAGTAACACAGCTCTAAAAAAAGTGTGGAGAGGTGGCAAGGAGAGGAACAGAAAGAAAGGGGGTTATTGTGTGCTTGCTGAGGTCTTGAATATGGATAGCTTTGCCTAAGCCACAAAGGTCTGAGGAAGAAGCAGCTCCCTGAGACAAGCTTAGGGTAACTCAGGCTGGAAAATATGAAAATGTTTGACTGCAAGAATTGATAAACATGTCCAAAAACATCACTGTTTGCTGAGCTGTAGTGAAAATGTTACTAGATCCTTGAGTAAAGATAATAACTGAGCCACTAAGAATGTTAAATGATTAAGGTAAGAATACTTCTCAGTCTTAAACTAGTTTTCTGGGTAGATATGGAAACATTTCAACATGCCTTGTTTTGGAGGAATGTGTGGAACAGATCAGATTTCTATTGAACCATCCTCTGCTTTAAGAGATTCGGGTTCAAGACTTAGCTGTTTTAACCCTTTACCCCCTAACATCAGTATTCATATTCTCCATACTGTTCTCTAAACATTTCCTAAGGTGCTGACGAGGAGAATTTGTCTAAAAATCAAAAGCTTTTTTTTGTTTGTGATCAGTTCCTTTATTCTCATGACCTTAATGTTTGATTCAGGGGTGATACAGTAAGGAGAAATTAGATGCCAGTCACTCTTATGGGTTAAAGGGTTCTTGGGGCAAGACACCTCACTCCCACCATGCCTCTCTCTACCCATGAGTATAATGGATACATTATATTATACATATTATTTATATGAAACTTTGTTTAAAGATGACTCTAATATGCAGAATATAACTGAATAACAAATTGAAAATGCTTTACTGTTACAATTTCAAATCAGCACACATTATTCCAGGAATCACTGCTCAAAGCTAAAAGCCATCAGTTTAAATGCTAAAAACTGTTTCTTGGGCTACCCTATCAGATCATTTCAGTTCAAGTTGAGGAATTTGCAATGAGTGACTGCTACAGTAAAATTCCCTAGCTAGTTTCAGTCTTTTTGTGTTCATAGGATAAATTTAGCATGCATATAGCAACATTTCAGTTGTGTTCAATATTTATTTAGGTGAAAAAGTCTTAGAAATTTGAAAAGTCTTTTAAAAAAGAGTACTCGTCAGGGACACATGATACTGAGTCGAAATAATCTTTCGTGCGTTCACATTTCCGGATTTCAGGATTGTATCAAATTTCTGTTAGCACTTGGACAAGCGAGACGGTTTCATTCCTAATTTGCATCCTAATTCACCTCATAATTTTCTATATTTGGTGTATTAATTCATGCTTAATAGAGAAATTGCACATGGAAACCAACGTTCGCAACGATCGTTCCGGCCAAGCGGAAGTTAAGTTGTAAAATGGTTCCTTCAGATTCTCGACACTCGTTCGTAAGTTCATCGACTCAACAAATCATCGACTTAACAAATTAAATACCGCTTCTTTTCTAAGAATTTCTTTCCCATGGAAAAGCCTCCACTTTCGCGAGGAAACTATGGAAAGACTATGAGATTAAAGAAAGTGAAACACTTTCGCTTCTTTAAAGAGTTTTAGTCGTAAAAATTCCTTGAGGAAGTCTCGTGCATGAACTGCAATCAATCAATCCGAAGCATTTTGACGAAATTGCACAGAATGGTCACAATATTTTAACGTTGCACCAGGAAAAATTCGATAATTGTTTATTATTCAGCAACTGCACACCCAAATTTGGCTCGGACAGAAACTGATGAACTTTTCATTCAAGACAGAAGGACGCATTCAACTTGATCTGGTGAAATCTTCGGGGTAAATTAACTCCCTTGTCCAAATAAACTCCCAGATGTGAAGGTAGTTGGAAAATGCCATTAACTTGAAACCACCTACCTTTCTAAAGCTTCTACTAGCATTCATCGCAAACCCTTCGGTAGACCTCCAGCACACTCACTAACAGGAATTATGTGAGGCGAAAAGTATAGTTCCAAGATTAAGCCATGTGAAAACCTCGTGACTGCAGGTTATTTATAGTCTAGAGCCAGTTTCTCTCGTATCAGACAAAATTCCGTTATCAAGAATAGAACTCGTTTAACTTGGCAAAATTCACGCGAGCGAGAAGTTTGCCAAAATTCAGGCTTTCGACCTCCTTCGGTGCAATTCGTTGATGGTTCTTGGTCATAGTGTTTAGAAACTCGACATAATGAATGGTCTCTCTGTAAAACGGGTTGATTGTGCCGAAAACGAAGAGGGAATGTTGAAAATAAGAGAATGGAGTGTGGAGCTGGGACAGTGGGACAGTGGGACAGGAACGGGAGAGCAGGATCCAAAGCGGGGTACTGGGTATAGGATACGGAGACCAGCGAACTGAAAGTGGGGAGGGTAAAATTTACAAGGAAAAAACTTGAACAACTTTTGGTTTTAAGGTTACTTCCCACCTCCGGGTGTCCCTCGGGAAAAATTTCGTACGCGCGCTAGTTTCACTAAATTCCTAGCAAAGTATACATCAGAAGAAAGCTTAATAACTGCAATTTACGATAAAAATTATCACTTTTCTTTAAAGTAAGTTTCGGGAACCGCTAAGGCGTGAAACGACTGAAGGTTCTTCTATTAAATTTATTGGGTATTGGATGCCGCGGGACGAGCAAATTAAAGTGGCTGCACAGTCTTATTCACAAGGCATCTATCAACAGAAATGAGTCAGGCGTTTTCGATATTCTGATTGGTTGTCTAGATATCGGCATCTAAAGTTGAAGTAGCTAAAAATATGCGAGGCGTGTTGCGTAAATGCACCCCACGGGACAAATATTTAAACTATCAAAATTTCCCGACCCACTTTCGTTTGTCATTATTTCTAGAATGTTTTGGCGAAATTTAACGAAAATCGGTCAAATCTAAGGGTGCGTTCCTTTGGGAGAATCCGGATCAGGATTTCTGGTCTGTGGCGTTCCTTTCGAGCAAATCCATTTTCAGATCAGTGATCTATCAAATCCACTCTGGACAAGGATTCATCGGATCACTGATCAAACGATGGAATTAAAACAGAAGTATTGATTACGATATGGATACTTGGGAACCTTGAATGCCTGCGATCAGTGGCCTCTCGATTTAACATTACAAAATCGATTTTATTTCGTTTTTATCGCAGAATTTGTGGAGCGATTCCCAACAATCTTTCCGGTCAATACATGAAATACCTACTTGTTAGAAATTGAGCACCGCTGAGCAAAATTATTAATTTCGGATCCGTCGTCCAAAGGAACGCGTTGGATCAGAGATCCATTCATCCGTCTTAAGCCCACGCAGACTAGTGATCTGATTGATCCTTGTCCAGAGTGGATTAGATAGATCACTGATCTGAAAATAAATTTGCTCGAAAGGAACGCCATATATCAGAAACCCTGATCCGAATTCTCCCAAAGGAACGCACCTTAAAACTCCGTTCCTTTCATTAACCGTGATCTGTGTGATATTGGATCACAAATCCCAATCCGGATCCTCCCAAAGGAACGCACCCTAGATGCTCTATAAATTCGCCCAGGTCCGAGATTACGACACCTTCCTGATATATGAACTATTATTTGAAAATACGTTAGGTCCAGCTCAGTCAAATAAAAGAAAAATCGATTTTTTCGGCCTCTGAAGGAGGGATTTAACCTTAATAATACAAATATAGCTCTTTGCACGTTATTCACTTTCAGCAACTTCAAAATAAGTGTCTTTTCTACTGGAGTTTCAGGTTCTCAACTTTTTCTACAAACCCTAACAGATGTAGAGGACATTGAGATGAACTTAGAAAACAGTAACTTCAAGTTGCTAGTTCGGTGACAAATTTTGCATTTTTTTTTTTGTTTAATAACCAAGCTGATGCAATGAACCTAAAGAGTAGTATTGTAAGAGATACTCACAATTTCCAATTTGAAATTCTTACACAGATTGCTACCAAGTCTAGAAAACGATTAGTACAACAGCTCAGAACAAACCAGCACAAGTTAACCACTGGTTGTAATTCTGATTGACTTTTAATCTGCACACGGCAGAGAGATCTGATACATCGTATACGGAAAGTTGAAGTCCAGAAATAAAAAATAGAGAATGGAAATCCAGGAATTGTTATTTTGGAACAGGGAACCAGAAACTGGTCTATAATGTTCTATACAAAAACATTGAAAGAACCTTGAAGCAAGACGAGTAAGAAACTCTGTGAGACCTGGGCAGCCATGAACAATACATAGTAGGACAAAATAATCTTTCCCTTTAGAAATCATAACTTTGGGAAAAAGAGAAACCATGGGATCACTGTTTCCAGAAACAAATTTCATGTCATTATATTTAACGATACTTCTACCAAATGAATACACAAGCTAGTTAAATAGCAACCAAACTTGTCTAAAATCCTTCTAATTCAGAAAACGAGGAACATCTAGTCTGACTGATAACATTGTCTAGATGATGAGGAACACCTTTGTCTGAAAATAATTTTTATCAGCCAACCAGTAACTTACTAACTAAAAAACTGAAAAAATACAGGATCAAACCAAGTAGTAAAAAAGCAAATCCACGGAAAGGTAGATATGCATACGATTTGTTCAATTTTTCATAGAGTCTTTTCACTTGTGTCTCAGTATTCTCCCTGTTGGAAGAATTGTCAATGATATAAGATGCTCTACGACATTTTTCATCCAGTGATATCTGAGCATTTATTCTCTGTTCAGCATCATTTTGTGTGAAGTTATTTCTTTCCATCAAACGCTTCAGTTGAGTGTCTTTGTCACTAGAGGGAAGAGAAATTAGAATCTAGGTGATAGGGAAATTAAGACAAATGTTTAACTCTTAATGCAAAGATGTGAATATTTATGATCTTGCACAAAGGAATATGCAGCTGGAGGGGAGGATTATGAGAAATAAAACAAAATAATCAAATTAAACAGCTTATAAGGAAGAAAACCTGAGTTTGCTATTTCCTTGGCCTTAGAGTAACCCTTCACACCCTAACATCAGTATGTGTATTCTCCATACTGTTCTCTATACATTTTATAAGGCACTGGCAAGGAGAATTTATTTAATAATCAAGAGTTTCTTTAATTAGTCTTTCATGGTGAATATTTCCTGTGAACTTAATGTGTGATTCAGGGGTGAAATTGTGAAGAGAAATTAGATCCTTGACACTTTTTAGGGGTTAAATATATCAGATAAAACCTCTATGACAATTTGATCATGTACATTGTATTATTGATGCCAATCACAATGAATAACCAATCACAGAAATCAAAGACCAAGGGCTCCTGACCCAATTCAAAATTCTATGTAATTCCTACATGCTTTTATATTCAATTTGCACCAGCAGTTAATTCGTTTTTGTTTTATTGTGATGCATTGTAGTAGGCCAAAATCTTAATTTCTCCAATCTGTTTGGCTAATAACATGCACTTAAATGCTCCTGACCAGCTATTTACAATATGGACCCCAATCCAGAATTTTTCTGAGCAAAGCAGGAAAAAGCAAACAAGCAGGAAAAAAAAAATGAGCAGATAAAAAGGACAAGGTATTTTGTACCTGTGTTGGTCCATCTGTATTGAAAACCTTTGCCCTTGGTCATGAGTACAACCTAAGGCTAAAGACTGAGGGCTGTATTCAAGGCATTTTTTTTCCCTTTATACAGACCTCCCACTCAGTAAATTGGGCTGAGCTGCCTCTAATATCAGGGAGGAAAACTAAAATGCAATTATGCGGCATACACATAATAATTATGTGTATGCCGCATAATTGTAATTATTACTTACCAGTACACTACAACAACTTCTTTCATCAGATACAAGGCAATCCCAGTCTCAAACATAAGTGGCAAATCAAGTATTACAAACTTTTCCCCTACAAAGAATTTGAGAAATACTTTCAGTAGAAGTACAATATTGGGATACAAATTTTGTAGGACATCTTAACTTCCTTTGTGAAAACATAGTGAAAAATGGGATTTAAAAGGGACAGCAATGATTGGGCCTGATTCTAGTGGTTGTCTCAGGTCCATTCTTCTGGGTAGGAGTGCCAGCTCAAACATAAACTGGAAATTGTCCACACTGTAGACAGTCATGGACTGGAGAATAAGTGAACAGAAAAAATAACTCAAAGTGAATTCCCTCATTTCAAGTGTAACACAACATGTACTTGAGACAGAGGCAATGAATCTTGCCATCAGTGTATTCTTGAATTTCAGGGTACCCCCCTAAAAAAAAATTTTGATGAGTGTTTAACAAGACTTATGAAACTCTAACTTTAACCCATTGACTCCTACGTGTAACACGTGCCTACCCAAAAGTTAAAATTTTGGAGAAACCGGAAAAGTAAACACAATGCGCAGTAAAGTTTGACAAATCTTTTTTTCCCAAAAACAAGCTCACGTGAAAGAAGACCATTTAAATAACTTACTATCAACGAGGAAAGCAATAGATGCATATTAAGTTTTTACTCTAAAATCAAGATAAAAGATAAAAATCAGTAAATTTTTGCGCACGTGTCCAAAAAAAGTATGCGGATCGGATTTCAAAGTGAATATGCAAATTCATCGGTGTGTGGTGAGATCTCATGTTACATGGAAATTATAAATGAGGAGAAAGACAAAACTGACCAAGGAACGTTTCAGGAAGAAAGCTTTATTCAAAACAGTTCTTGATTTTCTGTTAGAACCGAAAAACGTACGAATTTCTTACGTGTGCGAAACCCACGAAGTAGAATTCATCATGCTTAGATCGATGTTTACTTGACTTCACGGCTAGAATATTGCGCAGCGTTGTGTTGAAAATACTGAAAGTTCTACGTTTTAACACAAAATCTTCTATTAAACAGTACTTTTTGGACATCTCATTACTCAAACATGATATTTACCGTGCCTTTGAATCTTCATAATGTCTCTAGGCCTCGCTTGAAGTCCGATAGTTCGGTTTTCGCTTTACGGCCCTAATTCGCATCGCTTTAGAGAATTGTAGTGTTGTCGACTCGAAAGCTTATTTTGTCGCCTTTAAGAACGTGATGTCCATTATTTTTCGAGCAGATTAT